TACTTTGTACTTTACAACTGTGATAGCAAAGTTGCACATTTTCAAGTCAACTAGTAATAAGCCTTAAGTATAAAAAATAAAGCAAAAGTTTGCCATCAGTCTTAGGGAGCTCCAAAAAATATTTCAACAGCGTCATTTTGTTGTGCATACAGTGTCAACAGGTCCTCCATGTCTTGTTCACTGAAAGAAACAACAGTTAGAACCAGATGCTAGAGAAACAACAGCTAAAGCATGAGGCTAGAGAAACAGCAGTTACAATCTGATACAAAAGAAACAACAGTTACAACCTGATGCTAGAGAAACAACAGTTAAAACTTAGGTTACACAAACAACAGTTATAACCTGATGCTAGAGAAACAACAAATAAAACTTAGGTTACACAAACAACAGTTACAAACTGATGCTAGAGAAACAACAAATAAAACTTAGGTTACACAAACAACAGTTACAAACTGATGCTAGAGAAACAACAAATAAAACTTAGGTTACACAAACAACAGTTATAACCTGATGCTAGAGAAACAACAAATAAAACTTAGGTTACACAAACAACAGTTACAACCTGATGCTAGAGAAACAACAAATAAAACTTACACAAACAACAGTTAGAACCTGATGCTAGAGAAACAACAAATAAAACTTAGGTTACACAAACAACAGTTACAACCTGATGCTAGAGAAACAACAAATAAAACTGAGGTTACACAAACAACAGTTAGAACCTGATGCTAGAGAAACAACAGTTACAACCTGATGCTAGAGAAACAACAAATAAAACTTAGGTTACACAAACAACAGTTAGAACCTGATGCTAGAGAAACAACAAATAAAACTTAGGTTACACAAACAACAGTTAGAACCTGACGCTAGAGAAACAACAGTTAAAACCTGATTCTAGAGATAACTCTCATGTCAGAAATTAGTTAAAATTGAATGCAAGGGAAACAACAGTAAAAATCAGAATCTTTCAAAAATACAGTTTACTTCTTAATTTACAGAAAATTCAGTTAAATTTTGAACCTAGAGAAATAACAGTTAAAAACTGATGCTTGAGAAACATTACAATATAGTTTTCCTAAACGTTCACAAATATTTGTATAATTCTATAGAGTAATTGTTGGTGTTGCCTTTTCAATGAGGTAGGGTTTTGTTTGTTTATCCATAGAGGAGAATGTAAAAAGAGTCTTATCAGTTAATTTCACTCAGTGTTTCCTCCAGACTTTTTTCCGGGGGGGGGGGGGGGGGGGGCACTTGAAATTTTTTGGGGGGCGGTAAACTTTCTTCGGGGGGGGGGGGGGGGCGGACACTGTTAAAAGTATATATTTTCTATATAAATTATATAGATTTCATTTCGTTCGGGGGGGGGGGAAGTAACTCTGATTTCACTGATTAAAAAAAAAGTTTCTAACCATAAATCATCAGTTAAAAATAGTCTTACTTAGCAGAGCAAATAAATTGTCTGAATTTCCCTGGGTCAATCCCTTCAAACTGGTCTGTGTCCATCTTTGGACAGTTCTCTGCAATCATTCTCTGTGTTTGCTGGGGAGGTAATGTGTTATAAGCTAGGGTAGGGGAGGTAATGTGTTATAAGCTAGGGATGGGGAGGTAATGTGTTATAAGCTAGGGTAGGGGAGGGGAGGTAATATGTTATAAGCTAGGGTAGGGGAGGTAATGTGTTATAAGCTAGGGTAGGGGAGGTAATGTGTTATAAGCTAGGGTAGGGGAGGTAATGTGTTAAAAGCTAAGGTAGGGGAGGTAATGTGTTATAAGCTAAGGTAGGGGAGGTAATGTGTTATAAGCTAGGGTAGGGGAGGTAATGTGTTATAAGCTAGGGATGGGGAGGTAATGTGTTATAAGCTAGGGTAGGGGAGGGGAGGTAATATGTTATAAGCTAGGGTAGGGGAGGTAATGTGTTATAAGCTAGGGTAGGGGAGGTAATGTGTTATAAGCTAGGGTAGTGGAGGTAATGTGTTATAAGCTAGGTAGGGGAGGTAATGTGTTAAAAGCTAGGGTAGGGGAGGTAATGTGTTAAAAGCTAGGGTAGGGGAGATAATGTGTTATAAGCTAGGTAGGGGAGGTAATGTGTTTTTAAGCTAGAGTAGGGGAGGTAATGTGTTTTAAGCTAGGGTAGGGGAGGTAATGTGTTATAAGCTAGGGTAGGGGAGGTAATGTGTTATAAGCTAGGGTAGGCCTGCATTTATTATACATAGAAATAATATTTTCACACTACCACATATAACTTTTACATAACCTCTTACATACATTTTAAAATACATTTTATTTAACTTTTCTAGGAACCACCCATTCACCCCTTTCCAACCCATAAACAATAACTCAATTTTATGCCAGAAAATGTTGAGATTTTACACAAGTAAAAGACATCCTTAACAAGCCATCTCATTAAATTGAAAATACTAACTAGAATTAAATTAAATTATATTTAAAAAAAAAATAAATAAATAAATAAAAAAAAAAAAATAAATAAATAAATAAATAAAAAAAAAAAATTAAAATTAAAAAATAAAAAATAAAAAATACTAGATCTAACTAGAATTAAATTATATTAAAAAAAAAAATTTAAAAATTTAAAAATTTAAAAAAAAAAAAAAAAAACAACTAGAATTAAATTGTATCACTTACACAGTATTTGTTTAATAGACAAACAAAAAATGCTTTAAATATTACTTTAAGAAAATTGCTAAATGATTCGTCTTCCAAATAAAAACTTTTAAATCTCCAGCTGATAACACTAAAATCTAATTGTCACCTTGACATATATGTTAATGAAGTTGGCCAATCGCTGAGCGACAAGTTCTGTGTTTGTGGGTGGGGATTGTGAGGGTTTCTTCGGAGCAGGAGAGCAGGGGATGTTTAGCAGGGCCTGTTGCAGAAACCTGTTCAACAGATCCTTGAATAGAGAAACAATGGGTACGTTACAATCATTTGTCTCAACATTGGGTACACTACAATCATGTGTCTCAACATTGGGTACACTTCAGTCATGTGTCTCAACAATGTGTATGCTACAATCATTTGTCTCAACAATGTGTACACTCCAATCATTTGTCTCAACATTGGGTACACTACAATCATTTGTCTCAACATTGTGTATGCTACAATCATTTGTCTCAACAATGTGTACACTCCAATCATTTGTCTCAACAATGGGTACACTACAATCATTTGTCTCAACAATGTGTATGCTACAATCATTTGTCTTAACAATGTGTACGCTACAATCTTGTGTCTCAACATTGGGTACACTACAATCATTTGTCTCAACATTGTGTATGCTACAATCATTTGTCTCAACAATGTGTACACTACAATCATGTGTCTCAACAATATGTACACTCCAATCATTTGTCTCAACATTGGGTACACTACAATTATTTGTCTCAACAATGTGTATGATACAATCATTTGTCTTCTCTAGCTTAACTTCATTACAAGTCACTTTAAACCTTGAATCTGTTGCGTCATGTTTGGTGCTATCCTAACTAAAAGTAGATCCCTTCTTGAACCTGACAGTCCATGGGGAAAGTGAAATAGAGTTTACCTGTTTCTGTGACTTTGGCATTCGAAGGAATAGTTTGTCAGCACTATGCCCAGCCGGCTTTACTTTCCCTAACATGAGTCAGGTACCCATCAGAGCTAGGTGGGCTCAAGGATGTTCTACTGACTTGAACAATGATTCAAACTGGAGACTATCAGGTTAGCAATCTAGGTCTCTATAGCTAAGCCACACTGTCCATGTTATCCTAATTGTATTGGTGATATATGGTGGGATTGCCTGCTACCTCTTTTATATTTAAGACACTCCCATTTTCTCAAGTTGCATGGACCCTGTTATTCCCCATATAAAGGTTGCATCCATTGAGGCATTGTCTCTTGATTATTTCACTTGCATTCACAAGGTCAGTGATGATGTGTTTGATTATTTTCACCTTATCAGGGGGGAAGGGCTATCTTATACTGTATTAACCCACAATTTGTGATATTAACAAAGGCCTTTTGTTGGCCTTTTGTCCATTTCTGCCATTTGTTCAATTCTGTCTTTCGTTTTTCACCCGATAAGGAACAGAAAATTAAATCCTCCGAAAAGAAAAGCTACATGTAGGCCTACTGACATACCTGCGGGTCATCTTACACCCCATAGAAGAACAGACAATGTGAATCCTTCCAAAGAAACAAGCTACAACAGTCCTACAGACATACCTGCAGGTCCAGTTGTTCTGGGGTCACGTCCATTGTGTCACCCCCTGGTTTTATCAGTCTCTGTCTGGCAAAAGCTAAGTACAAGGCCAAGCTGATCCTTGCTTGAGTTTCACTGGGAAGAACAAGGAAAATTTATCATCTTTTCCCGTTAGTGCCCAAGACACATGACGCAGATGAAGTAGAGTTCATCTGTTTCAATGACCTCTACATTAAAGAGGATAATGTAATCAGCACTATGCCCAGGCGCCTTTGTATCCCTAATGCTGCGTAGACTCAGGGACGTTCTACTGGTCATTTTGTTTTATAGTTTTTGCTATCACTGCTGTGTTTATCTGTGATTAAATTATCTGCACTGATCAGAATGATCTAACACTCACATTACCTGAATTTTTACAAACACAACTTAGTCAAACTTCTTTACAAACATATCTTAGTCTAACACAGTGGTTCTTAACCTTTTTGGAAGTAACAACCCCATCAGTTACATTTGCGCATTCACCTAACTAGTCTACAGTTTTAATGTCCACACTGAACAAAATCCAATCATGAATCATATGAGTCTTGACATCTGCCAAACCCCTGAGACTGACTCATCTAACCCCTGAGGTTCGATCAAACCCAGGTTAAGAACCACTGGTCTATCCCCTTTACAAACAAAACTTAGGAAAATACCTTAACAAACTCTTTGAACAAGAATAGCTCAATTCAACACTTAACAAACACACCTACATGAAAAACCTTAATCAACCCTACCTAAGTGTAACACCATTCTCCATCTGTTGAAAAATATGTTTTCTTAACTCATCCCGGTGTATTGCCATTTCATAGTCTCCATGGGGTACCTCGTGGGTTAAGTTTTTGATAAAATCTTCACTGATCATTTCTTCATTTTCATCTTCTTAACAGATTTTAATACAAAAGAATATACAGATATATTTACACATATGTATATATTTACACATATATGTGTGTGTATATATATATATATATATATATATATATATATATATATATATATATATATATATATATATATATATATATATATATATATATGGGGGGGATGTAAATATGCATAGGCCTATATGTTTGTATATGTCTTTTGGAATTATGTTTTACAATTGATTTTGTTATAATGGAGAATATCATATAGTCAATTTTTAAAATGTATTAGTGCACGTGAAATCAAGATAAGATTTAAAAATGAAACAGTTAAAATTGATCGTGTTAAATTATATGAAACCTTTCTCCAACCTGTTTCAGATTTAATACCAAATCCTTGAGGGGGAATTTTGTCTAAAGGAGTTTCATACTTCTCCATGCGTTGAAGTGTGTAAATGTATGCCTTGCTAAATTTCTGTGAATCAATACATAAAATGTAATATAAAAATTGTAAAATCCTAGTTACAGTAGTTACATTCATAACCTGTCACAGAAATTAAAGTTACATTTGTTTTTTCAATAAGAAAAGAAATTATAAAAAATCTTCCTTGTTCTTAATGGTAACATTAAAAAAATTTCTCAAACACAATTAAGTATTTCATATCGACATGTTATGAGCCCACTAATGACTGGTCAACTACAACTTTTCCTTCTTGATTTGTTTCAACAGCCTTTGTCCACCCAAGAACTGTCTGCAGGGTAACTCTTTTTTAATTTTGGAGTTTTCTCCCCTAAAAATGGGTTGCTGTTCTCAACTAATGAGCCTTATCTGCCCAGGGTCCTGGACTGACCTTAGAACTTTCAAATTAGCAATTTTGTGTTCTCTCCCTCAAAGACACCATCCCTTTAATTATTCTAGAACATTATAAATTTAATTTTATATTTTACATATCGACAACATATTTGATAGACTTGTAAAGTAAACAATAATAAACCATCATTAAACCATCATTAAACCATCATTAAACCATCATTAAACCATCATTAAACCATCACTAAACCATCATTAAACCATCATTAAACCATCATTAAACCATCATCTATTTTTAGACCATGTGCTATCTGATGAATGATTTTTGTACAAACTAAGACAGAGACAGAAACACAGTTTAAAAATCTTTAAGCTTCAAAATTAATAATATAAATACAGAAAACAGGAATAAAAGAAACACAAGAAACCATTACATATAACAAACTTTTGACAGACTTGCCAGATATAAAGCTACACTTTCAAAATTAATGACGGGCATAAAATTAGATATGAGACCTCAAGGTCTAGTGGCAGAGTGCTAGACTGCTGATCCGAAAGTCTAAAGTCTGAATCCATCAAGTTATGATGGGTACCTAACTCACATTAGGGAAAGTATAGGTGACAGGCTTGTAAAAACTAAGACGTCAAGTCAACCAAGACAAATCAACTCACCTCATCTTTTTCTGCCTTTCTACCCGTCATCTTATACAACAGCTCATTTCTGAAAAGAGAATCCATCAAATCCAGTTTTAACAGTAGCAAAACATACGCTCCATGGCTAGTCAGTATGGTGAGGCCATATAATGTGCCCAGGTACATTATTTAAGAGTTATTTCATTACCTTCAACAGTACAGCATAAAGCACAATACTTAGATGAATGTTTATTTCTGTTCATAGGATAAAGTATGCCAGTGAGTTATTCTTTCTCACTATCAGTTATAACTATGATTTGTATTATTAAAACAGAAGTTACTTTTGTAAAATATACAAGAGATTCTCCAGCCAAAAGTATATTAATTTAAAACCTACTCACTCCTTGTCAGATAATGTAACCAATTAAAAGCCTACTCACTCCTTGTCACATGATTGTGACAAATTAAAAACCTACTCACTCCTTATCAGATAAAGTGACCATCCCCGCTCCAGCATTTTTCCCAGCACTCATACAACTGTGCCTGTAAAATCACATTGGAATTTTATTTTAGCTTTTAGCTATACACATTACACTGGATCAGTGTTTCTTCCAGACTTTTTTCTCCGGCGGGGCACTTGAAATTTTCGGGGGGGGGGGGGGGGTAGACTTTCTTTGGGGGAGGCTTTCTGGAAGAAACTCTGCACTGGATTTGATTGATTCTTTCATTAACATTAACATACAGTAAAAAATGTGACTCTCTAGAATGATTTATTTACATTTCTGGGTAGAGTCTCTGATGAAGGACTTTATTACTTGTTGTTGGAAATGTGAGGAACTGCCTGTAAAATAAAGAGAAACCAGTTGATGGTGGTGTTGTTTTTTCTGTTAAAAACCAAAAAAGCTGGTTGTTGTCTTAAAAATACTCTAAAAAATAAGGCTAATCCTCAAATGTAAATATGCACTGTAATTGATAAAGGTTTACCCTCATGATCTTGTTATGACTATATCAAAATTCAGATAATAATATTGACCAATGCCCCCCTCCCATTTCATTTACTTTATTAGAAAAAAGTTGTCACAAGTAAAATTTATCAGTATTTCACCCAGTGTATGGCTTTCTTTTCCACCTTGTACCCCCCTCAATCTTACTGCTTCACTAACTTTAACTAGTATGTTAACATAATGTCCCAAGTAAAATTTATAAGACTTGATATTTTGTCCCATTCTTAGAACAGGGAGTAAGAAAATTACTCCAATGAAATGTTACCAGTATTTGTACCCAATGAAATGTTACCAGTACTTGTCCCCAATGAAATGTTACCAGTATTTGTCCCTAATGAAATGTTACCAGTATTTGTCCCCAATGAAATGTTACCAGTATTTGTCCCCAATGAAATGTTACCAGTATTTGTCCCCAATGAAATGTTACCCGTACTTGTCCCCAATGAAATGTTACCAGTACTTGTCCCCAATGTAATGTTACCAGTATTTGTCCCAGTATTTGTCCCCAATGAAATGTTACCAGTATTTGTCCCCAATGAAATGTTACCAGTATTTGTCCCCAATGAAATGTTACCAGTATTTGTCCCCAATGAAATGTTACCAGTACTTGTCCCCAATGTAATGTTACCAGTATTTGTCCCCAATGAAATGTTACCAGTATTTGTCCCCAATGAAATGTTACCAGTATTTGTACCCAATGAAATGTTACCAGTATTTGTCCCCAATGAAATGTTACCAGTATTTGTCCCCAATGAAATGTTACCAGTATTTGTCCCAGTATTTGTCCCCAATGAAATGTTACCAGTATTTGTCCCCAATGAAATGTTACCAGTACTTGTCCCCAATGAAATGTTACCAGTATTTGTCCCCAATGAAATATTACCAGTACTTGTCCCCAATGAAATGTTACCAGTATTTGTCCCCAATGAAATGTTACCAGTACTTGTCCCCAATGAAATGTTACCAGTATTTGTCCCCAATGAAATATTACCAGTACTTGTCCCCAATGAAATGTTACCAGTATTTGTCCCCAATGAAATGTTACCAGTATTTGTCCCAGTATTTGTCCCCAATGAAATGTTACCAGTATTTGTACCCAATGAAATGTTACCAGTATTTGTACCCAATGTAATGTTACCAGTATTTGTCCCCAATGAAATGTTACTAGTATTTGTCCCCAATGAAAAGTTACCAGTATTTGTCCCAGTATTTGTCCCCAATGAAAAGTTACCAGTATTTGTCCCAGTATTTGTCCCCAATGAAAAGTTACCAGTATTTGTCCCAGTATTTGTCCCCAATAAAATGTTACCGGTACTTGTCCCCAATGAAATGTTACCAGTATTTGTCCCAGTATTTGTCCCCAATGAAAAGTTACCAGTATTTGTCCCAGTATTTGTCCCCAATGAAAAGTTACCAGTATTTGTCCCAGTATTTGTCCCCAATAAAATGTTACCGGTACTTGTCCCCAATGAAATGTTACCAGTATTTGTCCCAGTATTTGTCCCCAATGAAAAGTTACCAGTATTTGTCCCAGTATTTGTCCCCAATGAAAAGTTACCAGTATTTGTCCCAGTATTTGTCCCCAATGAAATGTTACCAGTACTTGTCCCCAATGAAATGTTACCAGTATTTGTCCCCAATGAAATGTTACCAGTACTTGTCCCCAATGAAATGTTACCAGTATTTGTCCCCAATGAAATATTACCAGTACTTGTCCCCAATGAAATGTTACCAGTATTTGTCCCCAATGAAATGTTACCAGTATTTGTCCCAGTATTTGTCCCCAATGAAATGTTACCAGTATTTGTACCCAATGAAATGTTACCAGTATTTGTACCCAATGTAATGTTACCAGTATTTGTCCCCAATGAAATGTTACTAGTATTTGTCCCCAATGAAAAGTTACCAGTATTTGTCCCAGTATTTGTCCCCAATGAAAAGTTACCAGTATTTGTCCCAGTATTTGTCCCCAATGAAAAGTTACCAGTATTTGTCCCAGTATTTGTCCCCAATAAAATGTTACCGGTACTTGTCCCCAATGAAATGTTACCAGTATTTGTCCCAGTATTTGTCCCCAATGAAAAGTTACCAGTATTTGTCCCAGTATTTGTCCCCAATGAAAAGTTACCAGTATTTGTCCCAGTATTTGTCCCCAATAAAATGTTACCGGTACTTGTCCCCAATGAAATGTTACCAGTATTTGTCCCCAATGAAATGTTACCAGTATTTATCCCATGTATCTGGAGCTGGGAAAATCCTCAGCCATCCACCAGATCGCAGCTCTTCCTCCCTGACCCTTCGTATCATGTCAATCTCCTGGAGGGTCAGGACGTTGGATGTATGCAGGTCTTTGCTTTTATGTTTTCCTCTTTCTTTTCCTTCTTTTTCTTTCTCCTTTTCTCCTTTCTTCATTTTATCTTTTTCTATCACTTTTTCTTTTTGTCTTTTTTTTTCGTTCTCTCTAGCACTCACTTTTTCTTTAGCTGACTCACTTTCTTTCTCTTTGGTTTTCTTCTCTTCTTTCTTTTTTTCTGTTTTATTTTTTTTCTCAGGTTGAAGATTCCGTTTCTGTATGAATAAAAAGGAATTGTAATAATGATAAAAATCTATATTAATTAAAACAGTTCCAATCCATTTAACCTGATGTTGTCCAGTAAACAAGACAGGTTTTTTTTTTATTCTTCTACACAGGAGAGCTACTTTAGGAAACAGGGCATTCACCCCAGAAGCACTTACAAAAAAATAAGGGAAAAAAGAGCTCAGTTGCCTCAATAAATGTAAAGATAGCTGACATAGTTACAGAATGGAGTTGATTAGAGGCAGGGGCGTAGCCAGGATCGTCTCAAGGGGGGGGGGGGGGGGGGGGGTTCCAATTTTTACCCGGGGACAAACTTTCGATTTGCACCCACCCCCCCTCAAACTTTCGATTTGCACCCCCCCCCCCCCTCAAACTTTCGATTTGCACCCCCCCCCTCAAACTTTCGATTTGCACCCCCCCCTCATACTTTTTATATATACCGAGGGGTCTATGGGGGGGATTATGACCCCCCTAACCCCCCTGCCTACGCCACTAATTAGAGGGTTAGTTTTACCATTTTGTTTATTGTATTGTGGGGAAAGGATGGGGTTATGAAAAAATTACATTATAATAGCCAATTTTATGTGGTTGTGGGTTTAGGTCAGTTTAGGAGTTCTAAAATTATTATTGTTGAGATTTATAAACATTTTACATTTGGTGAGGTTAAATAAAAATGTTCTTGTTTTTTTCTTTTCTTAAAATAAAATGTGCATGTTCTTATAGACACATTAAAAATTTGTTTTAACAGTTTTTACTGTGATTTTTAAAAATTCTCCTGATAATTAAGTAATTTTAAGATTTGTTTTAATGTGATTTTAAGAGATTTTTGAGAGATTTTATGCATATGGTTCTTTAATAAACATAGATTTTTTTAAAAATCCATGTAAATGAGATTCTCATAATATTTCCAGGTGAAGAATCGATATCATTTTGAACTTACATTTTTTTGTCAGATAGTGCTAAAGGGATTGTGTAAAAATCCTAGCAAAAATACAAAATAATGAGTTAATAAGAATTGTTTGAAAAATCTGAGAAAATAATAGCAAATACTGAAGTATACATTGAATGTTTTAAAGAATATTTCAAGTCAATTACATTCATTTCCTCCTGCATGAGACTTTTGAAGTCTTTTCTTGCTTTCCGTAACCCCCAAATAACTTCATAGGCATCTCTACACTTAGTATAGTAGTAATAACCCACTGTGATCTGCAAATAAAAATAGTTCGTTCAAGTTTCTGTCAAGTCAGCAAATTAATGAAAAACTTTAACTATTTTGAGGCTTTGAAACCTAGCATCTGGGCAATTATTGGTACATGTACAACACTTTTTAATAAATGTTATTAATAGTTGATAAATTTTAAAACTAATAGCATACATTAATTATACCATTATATTCTCAGTTATTTATTATATACAAATGTTGAACTTGACTATACAATACAAATTTTTATTTTGAAAATGACCCTACTTGTAAACGCTCCTTAATCTTCCTCCGTATTTTTCCTTCCTTGAAGCCACGAAAATAATTAGTAGCACTGAAACATCTAATACCTGAAAGTCGAATTTCAAAGCAATAACATTGGCAAGATTTTAAAGTACTATTATTACTTTGAAAATCAAGTTTCAAAGGAATAATATAATATTTCTGTCAAACTTCATGTGCATAAAGTAACTGAAAATATAAAAAATAAATACTTTGTTTCATTTAATTTATTAATTTTACATAAATATTACTAAGATCTTTTAGAAATTAAATTAAAAGCTCAAGTTATAAGTTTATAAGCTGTTCTATGCTAGTAAATTCCATACCAACTAAGTTTAACAGATCACAAAGCATGTTGCCTTTTATCTTGACATCAATTGGGGCATCACTGAAAAATAAATTTTGTTCTAAACAGATAGATTTACAGTTAAATATAGCAAATATTCCCAACTATAAATTACTTAAATTTACTTAATTATTTTATTTTTAAGTTTATTCATTAATTAAGCTGTAAAATCTGATGAGGTGAACAGAAGCACAGAATAGCCAAACTAGAATGTAATTGTTTACCATCCCAATGAAGGAGATAAATTAACTTCAATCAGCCAAGCTTTATAATTTTCATCCAATAGAATGTCAAAACCAAAAAGTTCTGAAATTAAAATTGATTAAAATCTTATTAAAAAATAAGAATAAAGAAAGTGATATAGATATAATTTCAGTCAGCACAAATGAAATACAGGAGCAATTAATCAAAGTAAATAAAATATAGAATTTAAAAACAAAAAAGACAGGCTCTCTCTAATAATCAAATTTTAATAAAAGAGTATGTCAAAATATTTTTACATTTTATAAAACTTAATATCAATACTAATGTCATGTCAGTATTCCAGCCTAGGTCATAATAATCTCCTCTCTTAAGATCAGGAACAAGAAGATTACTTTCTATGTTATTAAACGGTCAATTCATTTATCAGACATTTAAGTGTATAAAGTCATTTTTTTAATTCTTTACACAGTCGAGCTAAACCAAAATGAGAAGAATTACCGAAGCAATTATTTCTGTTTTGGATGTATCTTTTACACGCAATGCCAATCCTCCATTCAGCTGCCAAAACAGTTTTAATCACCACGTCTTCAATCTGAGTCATAATTTCTGGGGGAAATGAGAGAGTTAAATACCTTTTTATTAATGCTTTTTGACACAGACGTAAATTATGTTTACTAGGGATTTAACCATGATCAAATACGCAACAGTCCATTATTTAAATTCTCTTAAAACCTTTTTTTTGTGTTAACTTTGGTTATCATAAGTTAGATATGTTATTGGTTTCATTAAAACAAAATGAGGTCCAGTATATGCTCGTGCAAGATACAGGGATATTGTTTTAAAAACACCCACACAAAGCTGTTGCATGTAATATTTTATTCATTTCTTGTTTTGAGTATTGAAATTAAAGACAGTATTTTACTCTTTATAAAAATGTGTTTTAGGTTTTGATTTTGGAGTGTCTAATGGAATAACATATCTTTAAATCAAAATTATTGCCTAGATTTAAACTGTTTTAGATATCTAATTGTTTTCAGGAGAATCAGAATTTGGGTTTCAATGTGTGTAATAATATTCCATTACTGGTTATATTTATAATTTTCAATATTATTCCATAACAGGTTATATTTATAATTTTCAATAAAATTTAGCATTACAGTATGTAATAATATTCCACTTTGGTTATATTTATATTCACTGATAATTTTTGACTTGATATTAAATTAGAAGAAAGACCCAAACAAAATATGTTGATATTGGAGTAAACAGAAGAGCCATAAGAAACATAAAGATTATTGCAGGATTAAGAGATAATTTATGAGGAAAAAAAGTAACAATAAGAATAAAGAAATTAGATTAGATTGCTTAATTGAATGATCTAACTTTTTAGTTAAAGAATTTTTTTTTAAAATAATACTTTTGGTGTGTTTTAATGCATAACCTTACCTGTAGTATCTTTTCCTAATGATCGCAGATAACGCAGTAATGCCCCTAAGGACCACTTATTGCCAAAATCCTCAACCTCGGGATCTATATTTCTAATCAGTTATGAAAGTAAAGAAATATAAGGCTGAGGTAATATTCATATCAACTGTAAGAGACTACAGTTCAATATTTCTAATCAGTCATGAAGGTAAAGAAATATAAGGCTCAGGTAGTATTCATTAATTCATATCAAATATAAGTAACTACAGTTCAATATTTATAATCAGTCATGAAAGTAAAGAAATGTAAGGCTGAGGTAGTATTCATACAGAGGCATAGCGATGGGGGGGGGGGGGGGGGCAGGGGGGTACATATGTCCCCGGGCGCCGACCTTAGGGGGCGCCAAAATGGGATGTAAAAACAAATTAAAATGTCATTTTAGCTGCATTTTTGCATTATAAATAGTTTGAGGGGTGGGTGCAAATCGAAAGTTTGAGGGGGGGGGGGGGGGGGGGGCAAATCAAAAGTTTGAGGGGGGGGGGGGGGTACAAAATGAAAATTTGGGGGGCACCAAATTGAAAGTTTGTCCCCGGGCACCGGGAAGGGTCGCTACGCCTCTGTATTCATATCAACTATAAGTGATAACAATTCAATATTTCTGATCAGTCATGAAAGTAAAGACATAGAAGGCTGATATAGTATTCATTTAAAATATAAACGACTACAGCTTAAATATAATGACTATATTATTTGAAGCCCCGTATTAGTCTTTTAATTAAAAGCTAACTGCTAATAAGCAAAATGTATTTGAAGATTAATAAGGCGTTGATGGTCTATTGCTATGGTATATATTCAAACAACAAATTTAAAATTGTACACTTCCTTTACAGTTAAGCTATTTAAGCATGCGATTATTGTTTACTTTGTTAAATGGTGAATGTAATAGAAACCTTCAGTTGCCTACTACAATAAACATTTATGATATTTCTTTTTTTTTTTGTAATGTGACACAAAATTTTACAAAGATTCACAGATTTAAAACATAGCTTGATCTTATTAAAACAACCATGGAAGTGGTTACTGAAGTAAAATTGTCATACTTAACATAATCATCATTCATCATATTGATGCTGTAATTTGTCAGATGCATGCACAGATTTTGAAAGGTTCCGCTGTGCATGTTATATTTGACTGTGGCAAACCGAGTTAATCCTTCTTTGTAAATGTAGATCACCACAGGATCAAAAGAGGTTACAGCCACATAAATCCGCAGGTCAAATTTATAACCTAGGCAGACAGGTATTTTGACAATGTTAAAGTATATTATCACTCTAGATGTTACTATTTTAAAAGTACAGATTGATTATCAGGTATCGAAAAACTGTGTGTTTACGATCACATGTAGACCTAAATTCAATTTAATTTTAATTTTGGTTGCAAAATTTAAGTTTTTAAAAATTCTTCATTGTTTATAAATTATCAAATTATCTAGCTTATACTTCATTTTTTTATAAGTATTACATTGGCGCCTTTACTCATATATCAAAAGAGATATGCAGGATTTATTAATAGAGAAAAATCTGAATGTTTTTTTTTTTAAATGTAGGCTACAATGTTGTTCAGACTTACCATTAAGAATAAGAGGGTTTGTTATATATTTGCAAACAACATTTCTTTTGCCTGATTCTGTTTTTAATAATGCTTCTCTTGACTAGAAAAACAATGTAAAACTAAAGTCTGACATTATGCATAAAAACAAAAAATATAACAATAAACACACAAATAATAGCCTAAACAGTAAGCATACTAACTTCAGTCACAACAGCAGACATACAAAAAAGTCTCAATGCACATATTTTTTTTTAAATCTATCTTTTCATTAAATTCTCTTATTAATGAATTTACCAAAAGAGCACCATTAAAATTATTTAATACTTACACTAGTTATAAGAGAAACTCCTCTGCCTCTAGACAACCCAACAGGTTTTATGATGTAAGGTCCTTTGTCATGTTTAAAGCTTGCTAAAACATTTTTAAAAATTAGTTTTACCAGCTTTATAAAATTCTAAAATGCTAGCAATCATTTAATCATCAATCTACCAAGAAATTTAATCAAACTAATGAAAATTTTATTTTCAATTATTTTTCCAAATTTTAAAGTTTATTAAAAATCCAGCATAAATAAACAAAAACCATTAAAGACATTCTAAACACACCATCAAAACATCATTTAAGCTACACCATCAATATTAAACTAACACACACACACACACACAAATAACCTACATCGAAATGCTCTGTATTCGTTGGGTATTACAAAACTCTTTGGTACAAAATCAAACTGCTCCTTGCCCTGAAAACATTTCATTCCATAAAATAAAAAAATATTTTATGTACAGTTTCCTTGATGACTCTAGATTTTCTACCTCTCACTTATCTCCTCTTTCTATGACACTAGATTTTCTACCTCTCACTTATCTCCTCTTTCTATGACACTAGATTTTCTACCTCTCACTTATCTTCTCTTTCTGTCTCTTATATGGACATAACTGACTTGAACAATCATTTTAAACCTTTTAAGTATTCCAAACCTATTTTACAATCAACATCCAAACATTCTTCCACACCATCCCATCACTCAGTGTGACTAATCTACTTCCATCTTTGCACCAGCAATATTATGGTAACATTAAACCATGTTCAGCCCATATTCTGTAACAAAAAGCTGCATAGAACCCTGCATATAGCGTATAAACTGTAAACTTACGTATGTTTTCTGCATTCTAATTATATTGTGGAAGAGTTTATCTTTTCTTGTGAGCTCTTTGGTCCTAAAAATTAATTAGAAAATATTTGAAGCGTTAAAAAAAAAATTATAAATGAAAACTGTAGCTTTAGTGAGGTTTATGAAATATGTATTAATAAAAACAGTGTGCAGTAACGTCATAAATTAAAGATAATTACAGATATGATGTTTCCACCCAATGTCTTAATTAGCATACTATGGGTCAAGATTTAGAAAGAAAAACTATATATATATATATATATATATATATATATATATATATATATATATATATATATATATATATATATATATAGACTTATCTGGACAGCTAAAACATGCCTTGTCTAAAGGCCTATGTCAAAATAAAAGATTTGAGTTAGGGGGGTTTGATGGATTGGATGAAAGACACATGACTCTAATGATAAAATGATAAAAATCAATTTGTATAACAGTCACCATGAAGATATTGGGGGGGGGAGGGGCTATGTGACACACAAAATAGTTTTTTTTTTTTAAATGTTTACACCACTGTAAATAAATTAACTAAATTGATGCAATCAACTGAATCAAGAAAGTCTTGATAGACGTCTTAATTCCTTTGAGTTGATCAATGTAACCCAAATAGTTGTGTAGGCAAATGTCCCAGGTGGAGGCATAAAATTATTTTTGTTACAGATAATGACATCATATGTGAGTTTAAATGTTATGTTCACCTAGATTCTGGACACATGCTAATATTAAGACTGTGTATCGTCTGTTATATTCTTCCTACTATTATAACCTACATGTTACATGATATTGGCTAAAATTTAGTGACCATAACGTCCTACTATTATAACCTACATACATATTTATTACATGACATTGACTAAACTTTAGAGACCATAAGTTCAATAGTGCTTAAAACTAATTGTAGACAAATATGATTAATGATTTCTGGTTTAAGTAAACTGTGAATAAGTATTAAAATATTTTTAAACAACATATCTGAAAACAAACAAATGCCTATTTACTATTTAGTGTTTATCATAAACAAATAAAATAGTTAACTATAAAGTATAAACATATCCATTGCCCTTGTTTAAATAACGATATTATTTGTCGGTCTTTACAAAGTCAGCATTACTTCCCTTGCATAAGCCTTCTTTGTACACACTTCTGATATTCCTTTATTTTTTACACCTACAAACATACTGCATGCACATAATTGTACTTACTGAGGAAAGTGGTTTATGACTTGAAAATGTGCCATTTTACGGATGTAGTAAGGACTCGGATGATTGGCTGCCCAATTTAAATTAAAACACCGTGTGTTCCTGTGTGTCTGAGAAAAATAACAGTAACAGTTTGTGTTTACAGGTTTAGCATGTTTTGAAGCTTACAGTAATAGATGTAGCATGTAATGATGTTCATAGTATTAGGTTTAGCATGATTTAACTTCAAATAAACACTAAATACCAGCTTTGCGTTTGAAATACCTATTTTGTTACACAGAATACAAATGAGTGGGTGGCCGGAAAGAACCGCAACGGAAAAAAGCGCAACGGAAAAAAGCGCAAATCAAAAAGCGCAACGGAAATAAGCGCACACGGAAAAAAGCGCAAAGAGAAAAAAGCGCACACAGAAAAAAGCGCAAAGAGAAAAAAGCGCAAACGGAAAAAAGCGCAAAGAGAAAAAAGCGCACACAGAAAAAAGCGCAAACAGTAAAAAGCGCAAACGGAAAAAAGCGCAAAGAGAAAAAAGCGCACACGGAAAAAAAGCGCAAAGAGAAAAAAGCGCAAACAGAAAAAAGCGCAAAGAGAAAAAAGCGCACACAGAAAAAAGCGCAAAGAGAAAAAAGCGCAAACGGAAAAAAGCGCAAAGAGAAAAAAGCGCAAACGGAAAAAAGCGCAAAGAGAAAAATGCGCACACGGAAAAAAGCGCAAACGGAAAAAAGCGCAAACGGAAAAAAGCGCAAACAGAAAAAAGCGCAAACGGAAAAAAGCGCAAACAGAAAAAAGCGCACACAGAAAAAAGCGCAAACAGAAAAAAGCGCAAACGGAAAAAAGCGCAAACGGAAAAAAGCGCACACAGAAAAAAGCGCAAACGGAAAAAAGCGCAAACAGAAACAGAAAAATGCGCAACCAGAAAAAACACAACGAAAAATGTGCAAAAGAGAAATTTAGCACAAAGACCATATTGACTAGATGACACATTTATACATGACTGTTAGGGCTGCTGTGAGAGTGTCGTGTTTGATCACGTGATCTACTACCATTTAAAGCGTACCACTACCATCTGCATTCCCATCACCACGATACAGGCGATAATCACTTTACACAATGCCTATTATTTTCTTGGTCAATAATTATTCAACTACTATTCTCGTATAAACATAAAACTATCGACATTACACGAAGTATCTTTCACATTCTCCCTAGTCCGAACTACCCCAACGCACTAATTAAGGTTGCCGCAAAATGTAACATATATGTAACATATGTCAATGATGTCAATGAATTTTCATTAAAAAAAGATGTCTAGTACAGTTTACGAAACTTACGAACTTCGCCGATACTTTTTTGGTGGGTAGTTTGGTAAGTATGTAGGCGGGTAGGTGGGTAAGTGGGTAGGTGGGTAGTTAGGTAGGTAGGTAGGTAGGTAGGTGGGTAGTAGGTAGGTAGGTAGGTGCGCCATGATGTGAAAAAAATATTAAATACAAAATTGTTATTTTGGTGCGAATGAATGTTGTTACGAGAGATATGACGAATGCATGTTTGATGACGCGGATGAAAGAGAGTGAAGTTTTGCCATAGGAACGGGTTGTTATAGTATGCAAGCTAGGTAGTTCGGACTAGGGAGAATGTGAAAGATACTTCGTGTAAGGTCGATAGTTTTATGTTTATACAAGAATAGTAGTTGAATAATTATTGACCAAGAAAATAATAGGCATTGTGTAAAGTGATTATCGCCTGTATCGTGGTGATGGGAATGCAGATGGTAGTGGTACGCTTTAATTGGTAGTAGATCACATGATCAAACACGACACTCTCACAGCAGCCCTAACAGTCATGTATAAATGTGTCATCTAGTCAATATGGTCTTTGTGCTAAATTTCTCTTTTGCACATTTTTCGTTGTGTTTTTTCTGGTTGCGCATTTTTCTGTTTCTGTTTGCGCTTTTTTCCGTTTGCGCTTTTTTCTGTGTGCGCTTTTTTCCGTTTGCGCTTTTTTCCGTTTGCGCTTTTTTCTGTTTGCGCTTTTTTCTGTGTGCGCTTTTTTCTGTTTGCGCTTTTTTCCGTTTGCGCTTTTTTCTGTTTGCGCTATTTTCCGTTTGCGCTTTTTTCCGTTTGCGCTTTTTTTCCGTGTGCGCTTTTTTCTGTTTGCGTTTTTTTCCGTTTGCGCTTTTTTCTCTTTGCGCTTTTTTCCGCTTGCGCTTTTTTCTCTTTGCGCTTTTTTCTGTGTGCGCTTTTTTCTCTTTGCGCTTTTTTCTGTTTGCGCTTTTTTCTCTTTGCGCTTTTTTCCGTGTGCGCTTTTTTCTCTTTGCGCTTTTTTCCGTTTGCGCTTTTTTCTGTTTGCGCTTTTTTCTGTGTGCGCTTTTTTCTCTTTGCGCTTTTTTCCGTTTGCGCTTTTTTCTCTTTGCGCTTTTTTCTGTGTGCGCTTTTTTCTCTTTGCGCTTTTTTCCGTGTGCGCTTATTTCCGTTGCGCTTTTTGATTTGCGCTTTTTTCCGTTGCGCCTTTTTCCGTTGCGGTTCTTTCTGGGAACCAAATGAGTGTACATTTTTTTACCTCCAGAAACCCATGAGACTTTAAAATTTCCCGCACAATTTGAGCATTTCCCGATATCCTACACACAAGTCCGTGTTGCTCTTTAAACAGAAATGGGTGCAATAAATAAATTAATTAGTATTCAGAGCATTTTAATTGATTACCTTGATGCATTTAAAAATAATAATTGCACTATTTATAATTTTAAAAACGTAAAAGCGTATAAACCAAATCCTAATCGACCGAATAAGAGCAAACATTAAAACAAGGATGCTTATTATTGTCTAATTATGTTTTCGTTTAAGTTTCTAAATAAATATCAGTGGCGTCACAAGGTTGCTGCCACCTATTCTCCACTATAATTTTTTTCTTATTTTAACTAGGTATTTTTTTCAATTTTTTTTTAAATTGGTGACACGCCGTAAATGGTGTCACCCAGTACCGACCGGGTACCCCCCCCCACCTCCGCCTTGTGACGCCACTGCCAAATGTAACCAACTACAACCGCTATAGAAAGGTTTGCACTGACCACCCGCTCTCTTCAGATCAGGATCCTGGTGAAAAAATGAATCGGTGTCAAATTCGAGGACAGAAACTCCACTGCCGCGCCCTAGAAGTCGGAGTTGAAGAGGTTTACCGCTGTTTTTAAAATAGACATGGAATTATGGTCTATATAACTTTCTATTCTTATGTCTAGATGTATATATATATATATATATATATATATATATATATATATATATATATACAATATGTATACATATATAACTATATATATATATATATATATATATATATATATATATATATATATATATACAATATGTATACATATATAACTATAAATATTGTATGTATATGTATATATATATATATGTGTGTGTGTGTGTGTGTGTATATATATATATATATATATATATATATATATATATATATATATATATATATATATATATATATATATATATATATATATGCCTGTACGTGTCTGGCTGTAAATTATATTTTGATTATACAACTCTCTAGAAAGCGGAATGTAATGTCAAAGAAAAGAGCACATCAGGACCTACTTGTCAAAGAAAACAGCACATGAGGACCTACTCAATATCATAGCATTCCCTGGCACAGTCGCTCTCATAGTCAGAATCCTGGTCACTGCTGAAGTTCCGTTCGCTGTTCTCTGATGGACTCATTGAACTGATGCATCCGCCGTTGTCGTCGTTTTCTTTCCTTAATTCCATTTTACTCTTTAGAAAAATGAGGAAATCGTTACATATGTTTATCCAGTTTGAATTGAGTTCAAGCCTAGCCATGCACATTATTGATAGTTGTAGGAAACTTCTACTGTGTTGTGTTACAATGGATTTTGTTTCTATCTGTTGTCCCCTCCCAACCACTACTCCTAACTGTTGTCCCCTCCTAAGCAGTCGGCGTGGTGGGGTCGGTAAAGCTCATGGCTGCTCAACCTTAAAGTCCCGAGTTTGAACCCCGGTAGATGAGTCTCGATAGCTGGGGACAGCACGCCATGTAAGAGAGAAAATAAAATCGAACTGCTACCTTTTAGTTCGTTCTTAGTTGGACAAAGGCCATGGAAGCAAATCCAGAAAGAAAAGCAGGCTGAAATCGGAGTCTACGGCCTATATCGCGCATTACTATTAAGAACATAAAAGACTAAGTCCCTCACAATGCCTAGTCCTGACCATAGTTCCCCATCCCAAAACAAAACCTAACCATTGCTCTCTCACCCCCCCCCCAATCCCTGGTCCTAACCATAGTAGCTCCCCCCCCCCCCCCACACACACACATCACTTGTTCTAACCTTAGTCGCCCCCCCCCCCCACCACAACCGTAATCCCTGGTCCTAAAAACAACTCCAAAAAAAACCTTAACTTTTACCAAATGACCAATCGTCAACTAGATCCAAATTTACATCTTAACCCACCCAACAGAACACATAAGATGTAACTAAATGCTATCGTGTCGGAAAATGTCCGACTCAACGACTAAATGTAATGGTCGAGACCGACTAAATGTAATGGTCGAGACCGACTAAATGTAATGGTTTTTAATCATGTCATATTTTCTACTTAAGGGTAGTCCCCTAAGAGTAGTGACCAGCTAGGTTCAGCAGTCAAATAAGTCGCCCTTTTTCCTGTCAATATAATCCCGTAAGTAAGAGAGGGGAGCATCTAAAATCACGACTCTATACAACACCCCAACAGTGATAGCTCACAAAATGCATGTAGACTCCAGTTAGACTCCCTCAGACTTCAACTCCACTGCATCGGTTTCCACAGCTTCTTGATGCCAACACCCAATGTTAGCTGCATTAACAAAATATGGGGCGGATATTACATGTACAACTCTACACAGGCTGCTCTGTCTGTACGATTTGTTTGTCAAACTTATCTGGCAACTTCCGGTAGTAAACACACCGCACCGTGCTGCACTGTTCATGTACATTTTAGGTTTTCAGCAATCCGGACATTTCGTGCAGCTGCTTCAAGAAAATAGTTTTTCATTACAATGGACTGTTTTTTTAACAATATCGTCGTATTTTATTGTAATTTCGGAAACTTTTTATTTAGCTTTTAAGATTACTCTAATTAGCCCGCGTTTCTATCTTATATTTAGCCAACTAACGATACCTGTTTCTCTACCATTCTGCTATTACCATTTTATTCTCCACTTTGCGACATGTATTTATAGCTTCAGCAAAAATGGGATCTCCCCCATCTCGTCTATAAATGTCCACTTTTTGACGATAAGTCCCAATATCTTTCCCCTGACATTCTCATGTCAACCAGAGGGTGTAGCACCACTTTCTATGACAACCATGTAGTTGACTGACAACCCGATTTAGCTTTGTGCTGAGACTGTATCTAGGAAGGTTTACGGCATCGGGTGTGGGGTTTCGCTAAGAATAGTGAGAGATGTTTCATTAAGCATCATATCGTGGTCTGTGCTATGATGCATGCCCTCAATATAGCATGTCCTAGCTTACTGCATGAACTGTGAATCTTGACACCCTCTTACCTTCTTTGTGTTGTTGGGTGAATGGTGTATTATAATGACCAGCTACAACTCACCCTTTACGTGTGTTTAGGCAAACATTGTCTCACCATAGTAACAATCAGCTCACCTTCTATGTGAGGTACGATCACCATTGTCTCACCATCATGTTAATTAACTCACCTTCTAAATGGGGTGAGATCAACATTGTCACACCATCATAATAATCAGCTCTTCTCTATATGTGGTTAAGTCACCATCATCTCATAATCATGTATGAGATCCCTACCCTTCCCCTCCCTGTCCCCCACATCACCTCTACATTTTTATGTACCTCAGACAAGATTCACCTTTGTCCTCTTTCAACACTATCGTATTCCCCTCATCAATTCCCATTAAAATCAGTTCTTTTAAATCTTCTGACGTTGTTTTCCTCTCACAACAAATTCTATCACACGTCAGGTTTCCTGGCAAAGTTCCAACCTTCCAGGGTTTTCCGTAAGCTGGGCCCCTGGTAACATACTTGTAGATTGTTTGTTAGAAGTTTCTCTACCTTTGTAGCTCCATCTTCTATCTATAAAGTATGGTTATTTTTTGTTGGGTTTTTTTTTGTCAGAACTCTCGGGTATTTTATTTTCCCGATTTCCGCTATATCTAACGGGGTTTTCCGATTATCTACCTGTGGATGCTTTGATATCCAGCAATAGGACTTGTAAGTCTCGGTCTCTCTCGCGTATACTTTGAAATCTCCTTAGCCAGGTAGAGATATAGGCCTACATTTTTTAACTAAAATAATTTTTGTGAACATGATCTCCATTGATAATAAAAACATGGCGGCTATTTGTTTCTAAGCCCCGTTTCAAGATCTTAAAATACCATGAGTATCCAAAATGCTACAATTATTTGAAAAATTGTACTAATAATAGCAAATTTACTACCGGTAATTACTAAATATTAATAATATATTAATATTGTATCTACGTTTAGGTCAACTTGTTATTTATCTATTTTTTTTTAATCAATGTAATCAAAATATTCACATTTGGTTTGAAAAATACTAGATCTAGATGGCAAGTACGAGAACGAGAAGTTGGTGTCCTACCTCCAAGCCCTACACCTCATCAGTAATATAACTAATTGTTGTGAGCACACGGACACATCTTTTTTATTTTCTTTTTAGAAAATGTCCGTGTTTTCAACATTTTAACACTGATTTTAAACAAATCATTTCTTGAATTAGAAGCATAGATAAAAAAAAATTCCGAAGACGTTCGCTTACGTTTGATAAACAAATGAAATTTATTTTAGTTTTTTTTTTAAATGTGTGATATATTTGACGTCACATTTGTACTCCACGACACGTCGCCAAAAATAAAACTCAAATTTGGATCCCCGTGACGTTTAAAGCCGAAAACGTAGCAAGATAAATAACGCGAGCACGAAACTAATTGGTTTGGATAAATACCGAGAGCGTTAGAAAAATTCGACAGAATGGCTTCCCCGGGTTTCGTTTCTTTCATGTCTGCCTACCACAAAGTGCTGTGAAGTCGGCATTGTGGTGCCAAGATAATTTCAACACTGCGTTCAGTCAGGTAAAGCTGGAATTAAACTGCCAAAAAAAAGATCAACCGTTTTAGATATTATGCTTTACAGTTTATTTTACGTTTTCTTGAAGTAATGTGGAGTTTGAAATTCAAAACGAATCGACGTTTATTTTACTGAACAATTCCATTAAAATATAACTTTAGTATTGCTAGTGAATCTATAAAATATGACGTCATATTTTCACTGTTTCCACCTGCTTATGCTAAATAGCTTTTTTTTTTGAGTTTTGAGTTAATTGTTTCATAATCTGGCAATCGTTTGATCGTTTCACGCAGATGAAAAATTTAGTTTTAGTCTTTGTATATATTGGAAACAGAGTTTCTTCCAGGCATCTCTTCGGGGGGGGGGGATTTTTTACCCCCCCCCCCCCCCCTCGAACGAAATGAAATTTATATAATTTATATAGAAAATATATACTTTTAACAGTGTCCGCCCCCCCCCCCCCGAAGAAAGTCTACCGCCACCCCCCCCAAAAAATTCAAGTGCCCCCCCCCCCCCCCCCGGAGAAAAAAGTCTGGAAAAAAACACTGATTGGAAATGTTACAGAATGCTAACATTTTAAAATCATTACCACTTACGTATGGCACAATTTACTATAAACATTTAGTAAAAACAAAAATTTAAGCATTGGCTAGTTTCGGTCAATTAGTTTTGACATGTTATTAAGAGGAATGTATAAATACGAATAATTAATATTTTTTTAAAGTTTAAATAATCAAATATTAATTAAAAATAATTTAAATGTTAATTAAAATTGCATTTGAATTCGTTAAAGCGGAAATGATGTCATTGAAATCATCACGAAGAATTACAAACACCTTCGCTCTACGCCAATAAATGCAGGTCTTTTTCTTCCAGCAATGTTCCATGTGTTTACTTGAGGCATGCTGGCAGCTAGAATCTAGCTAGACACCAACACATGTCTTAAATATGCTGTAAATATTTGTGCTGTATGTCAACTGGGCATTTGCGATGTTTACATATTGTTATATATCAATGTTATATAGCCAGCAGACCAAGTTATATGTCATAGTTATACAGCCAACGGCCAAATTTATATATTAGTGGCGTGTACAGACCAAGTTATATGTCAATGTTGTGTACAGACCAAGTTATATGTCAATGTTGTGTGGCCTACAGCCATGTTATATGTCATTGTTGTGTAGCCTACAGCCAAGTTATATGTCAATGTTGTGTAGCCTACAGCCAAGTTATATGTCATTGTTGTGTAGCCTACAGCCAAGTTATATGTCAAAGTTACGTAACCTACAGCCATGTTATATGTCAATGTTATGTAGCCTACAGCCATGTTATATGTCATTGTTGTGTTGCCTACAGCCAAGTTATATGTCATTGTTGTGTAGCCTACAGCCAAGTTATATGTCATTGTTGTGTAGCCTACAGCCAAGTTATATGTCATTGTTATGTACCCTACAGCCAAGTTATATGTCATTGTTGTGTAGCCTACAGCCAAGTTATATGTCATTGTTGTGTAGCCTACAGCCAAGTTATATGTCATTGTTGTGTAGCCTACAGACACGTTATATGTCAATGTTGTGTAGCCTACAGCCAAGTTATATGTCATTGTTGTGTAGCCTACAGCCCAGTTATATGTCATTTTTGTGTAGCCTACAGCCCAGTTATATGTCATTGTTGTGTAGCCTACAGCCAAGTTATATGTCATTGTTGTGTAGCCTACAGCCAAGTTATATGTCATTGTTGTGTAGCCTACAGACACGTTATATGTCAATGTTGTGTAGCCTACAGCCAAGTTATATGTCATTGTTGTGTAGCCTACAGCCAAGTTATATGTCATTGTTGTGTAGCCTACAGCCCAGTTATATGTCATTGTTGTGTAGCCTACAGCCCAGTTATATGTCATTGTTGTGTAGCCTACAGCCAAGTTATATGTCATTGTTGTGTAACCTACAGCCAAGTTATATGTCATTGTTGTGTAGCCTACAGCCAAGTTATATGTCATTGTTGTGTAACCTACAGCCAAGTTATATGTCAATGTTATGTAGCCTACAGACACGTTATATGTCAATGTTATGTAGCCTACAGCCAAGTTATATGTCATTGTTGTGTAGCCTACAGCCAAGTTATATGTCATTGTTGTGTAGCCTACAGCCCAGTTATATGTCATTGTTGTGTAGCCTACAGCCAAGTTATATGTCATTGTTGTGTAGCCTACAGTCAAGTTATAAGTCATTGTTGTGTAGCCTACAGCCAAGTTATATGTCATTGTTGTGTAGCCTACAGCCCAGTTATATGTCATTGTTGTGTAGCCTACAGCCCAGTTATATGTCATTGTTGTGTAGCCTACAGCCATGTTATATGTCATTGTTGTGTAGCCTACAGCCAAGTAATATGTCATTGTTGTGTAGCCTACAGTCAAGTTATATGTCATTGTTGTGTAGCCTACAGTCAAGTTATAAGTCATTGTTGTGTAGCCTACAGCCATGTTATATGTCATTGTTGTGTAGCCTACAGCCCAGTTATATGTCATTGTTGTGTAGCCTACAGTCAAGTTATATGTCATTGTTGTGTAGCCTACAGTCAAGTTATAAGTCATTGTTGTGTAGCCTACAGCCAAGTTATATGTCAATGTTATGTACCCTACAGCCAAGTTATATGTCATTGTTGTGTAGCCTACAGCCATGTTATATGTCAATGGTATGTACCCTACAGTCAAGTTATATGTCAATGTTATGTAGCCTACAGCCATGTTATATGTCATTGTTGTGTAGCCTACAGACTTGACAAGGGGAACTCATTCCTAGCCTAGATCTACCTGCATTAACCCCCACTCTCATAACTAACGCTGACTTCCTTCCCCCTAATTCAATAATGATAATCAATATCCTGTTATTTAAACATACAAAGCTGTAGTTTAATTGTGCCAAGTTTGTTCGGTATTTTGTTTCAAAAGTTAAAGTATTTTTTTTTTAGAAATGTTAAATGGTAAATAAAATACGACATTATTCACTGCAGATGTAGTAAATAAAAAATAAGCTATTTAAAATAGAATTTTGGTTGGACTAGTATTAATTTTAGCTCGTAAAAAAACTGTTTTTTTTTTATTTAAAATGTTGACAATGGCGTGTCTACATAAGTAAGAAATATTTAAAATATCACATTTATATATAGTACAGTAATATCAATAAATTTTACACAGCTCTGTAATGAATTAATCGAATCAATAAGTTTTACATAGCTCTGTAATGAGTGGATCGAATCAATAAGTTTTACATAGCTCTGTAATGAGTGGATCGAATCAATAAGTTTTACACACCTCTGTAATGAGTGGACAGCTCTGTAATGAGTGGATCGAATCAATAAGTTTTACACAGCTCTGTAATCAGTCAATTGAATTTTTCCTGAAACGCTGGTGTTTACCTGCTCTCGATATATTTATCACTAGTAATTAGAATGTCTATTAATTAGCAACAATAATCAGGTAGACATTAAGTAAAAGAGAAAAAAAATGCAACGATATTGTTAATGTATTTTTTCATTGCATTTTACAGTGCAAAATCAAAACAAACAAAAAGATTTAAAGCTCTTCATTACAACAGACATAAAGAAATAATGAATACCACAAAGTTGTAGATGGTAAGGTGGGTACGTTTGGTTGTTGTTTTTCTTTATATCAACTTCTTTATTTTATTATATACTCACACAACATTCAACAAATACACGCAAATACGTATACGTTTATAATTTTTTAACAGTATCATTAACGACTAAATTAAATCGTTGTGTGGGATATTCGGGGGGTGGGGAGGCTCGAATTACTTGCATATTTCCTTTTACTTTAGATTTGCTAAAAATGTAAAAAAAAATACCTGCGGACTTTTATTTTAAAAGTAAAAAGTAGAAAGTTTTCATACACATGTAAATTATTTATACATTTATTTCAGTCTTGTATCAATGTTGAATTTAATTTTTTAAAAAGATTGTGTTCTCTAAAATGATATATCCTTAGTTCATATATATTGAAATTAAAATTATTTCTTTATTGCATACGTTATATAATAATTTGAAAATAACAACTGGAATTTAAATCCACACCAAAACGAAAATTCGACTGTCCTCAAGGAAAGTTAACCAGAATTAGTTCAATAGCAGATTTTGACTTCTTTTTTCTAGTCTACTTTTTTTTTAAATACTAATTTTAAACTATATAAGAATTTTAGTTAATAAAATAAAAACACTATTGGACATTCAAGTTAAATAAAGGATTTAACTTAATTGTCCCTTTACTGAATGTAATAGCAAACACCTTTCAATAATTCAGCGACAAACAGAAGCATTACTTTTGTTGAATTCACTCGAAAGATCTTTTTTTAAACAACTCCTTACATTTTAGTTTCGACTCTCTATTCAAAACTAACTTAAACTAGCCTGGAGAAACAATGACTCAAATACCTCTCTCGTACTAAATGATAGACCAATACACTTGAGCAATATACGGTGAAAATGATAGTAGACTTAGCCATAATCAGGTACAAGTAACAACCAAAAACTGTCATCAAATATATATGTACAAGCAATGTACACAAATAGAAACAAAAAGAAATATGTGTTCACATAGAAGTATGATTATATATATATATATATATATATATATATATATATATATATATATATATATATATATATATATATATATATATATATATATATATATATATATGAATTGCCTTATTGCACATTCTATTTTTACAAAATGATCAATGTAAGATTTTTAACTTAAAAGAGCACTTCAAATACAATCTTGTACTTTGAATTTCTAACCGGTAGTTTTTTTTTCTTAGAAAATCAATGTCAAACGCTTCACTCCACAAGAGCATCAAGTTCAGTCATGCAAGTCCATGCACCTACGTCCAACACCTACAAGGTGTACTGCAAGAGCGACGAGTACCTCGTCTCCTCCTCCTCATTGAAGTTCGCGTTGAGCACCGCGTGGAGCCCTTTACCTTTGTAGTTGTCTATACCAATCAGCCGGCCCGTCCAGATGCCGTTGTCCCCGGGGTCGAGGTGTGTCCACTCCTCCCCAATCGTGACCGCCACGGCGTGAGCACGTGGGATCGCCACGCGGAACATCACGTCCCCTTTGACGTGATCTCCGGCTAGTGAGAAGGGTTCAAGCAGCACGCATCCGTCGCTCCACTGCGCGAACTGCTTAGGAAACATGCGAGACTTTCTTGGCGTGCTCGTGCAGTTGATGAGGTAGTTGAACACCCCGGGAAGTTGTTTGCTGGCGTCTGCAGCGGGCAGGGCGTAGATCTGCAGACGATGGTACCCGGGTTTGTCCAGGCTGACCAGAAGATTGACATCCTCCCCTCGGGTTTGGATGAAGACCCTCTCCAGTGACTCGTCCCCTGTCTGCTCGCTGATAACCTTGCTCGTGATCTTGACCGGCTGGCTGGCCTTGAACTTGATCACGAACTCGTTTTCGCCAGTTTCGAATTCCGGTTCGGGGTGGGTTTTAGTGGAGAGGCCGATCTCTTTGAAGAGAGGCTGGGCCCCGAGGTATCCATTTTGTAGAACTGGACGCTCCGTCATGATGGGAATGTTTTCAACTGCCCGATACAAGATGCATATAGTAAACAGACGTGCAGTATTCTAAATTGAGTTTCACAGAGTCATGTTCTCTACACTTCAGCCATAGTTAAAAATGTTAGAATAGTGTTGTGGAATCTACACAGTTCGTAAAGCAGATTGTCTTAAAAATCCACTTTTTCAAAACTTAAGAAAAATCCAGAAATATTTTTTTTAAATACCTGATTCAGAATTCAATTAAAAATCCAAAGTTTCAAAACTTAAGAAAAAATCAAGAACTTTTTTTTAAACCTGATTTAGGATTCAATTCTTCACATATTTTTTCCCAGTATAAAGCTAAGAAGATAAATAACGGTGTTATTTATGTACACAAGACCGACTTTTACAGCAACAATTCTCTAAACATAGCAGTAGCACAAGAACCAGATCACACACGGTGTCTACACAGATTTGATTGCCTGGAATTTTTTCACGTTTATTACCTTAACAAATGTTTTTAACTGCTCGGATTCCGCGTAGCTTGTGGGAAGAAACTTTTGAGAGAAAAACAATAGCGGCGTTTGACGCGCTTCGCGGAAAATGATTCAGACCACAACACCGGTAGTAAAGTTTAGAATTAGCAGGATTAACCTCCCCCGCCCCCTTTGTGTGGTTGGAGGATCTACCTGCAAGGTAAACACAGGGATAGCAAGGGGAGGCTGTGGTGAGGGGATAAATTGCATACTTAATTAGCACCAGATTTATAAAGATTCTTACGGTATGACGTCACGCTACATCTTTATGAAAACATTATTTATTATGTTATAAGAAAATTAGGTTATAAAACAGGGACAGTTAAATTAAAGAGTTTGAAATGTACGTGATTTATGATATAATAAACTATATACTTTAAGAGTTTTAAGATTAAAGTAGTTGATGTACAAGGATGGAATAAAAAGCTAAAAACATCAAGTCAATCCTGTATCCGTTTGATACGATGCCCAGATATAAAGCTTTTTTTTTTAAATTTCCTCGTCAGAAGATAAATTAGGTAAATTATTAATCTACTAGTGAAGCTGTGTTTAAAATCACGGATAATTAATACAATTAACTCTAATTAACTCCAACTTGAACCATACCCATCCCCTAAGACACGAGTCTTGTCAGTTGCCCAACTAAAAATAGACTCAAGGCTTCTGTTTATTTTTGTTCTCGGCGTCAGTGCTGTGGATTCCATTATTCCCCTGCTCAAATCTTGGTTTTAAAAGGTAGACTAGTTTGAGTGAGTTGCTTTGACTAGATGCAGTAAAACAATACCTAAAGACGCTCAGCAAAACGCCCACCAGGACCGATAACTCTAGTGGGATAACGATGTTTATTGAGAGTGTATGGTCTATAGTTTCTTACCTTTTTCAAGAAGAGAGATAACTCTCATTGGTTTTCCAAAATGCGGTTATGTAATATTAATAAGAGCGGTAACTCTTGTTTTTTCGCCAACTACACGACTACATTAACTGCCGGCTATGATGGAAAAGTCAGTTTATGTGTTCTGGAAGAAAAATTTTATGGGGGGCAAAAGTTACCCGATTAAAAAATAATTTACGAGATCTAATCTAAAAAAACCAATAATTCATTATAAACAAAAAAATAGATCAAATAGAATATATATATTGAAGTCTGCTATAATGTCTTTAATTTGGAGCTAATGAATGTGTACATTTTAAACAAAATGAATTCATCAAAAAGTTAAAAACTGCTTTCCAGTAAAATGTTATAAAATATTTAATTTTCAGCATCTGCAGATTCATTAAATAAATTATTTACAACGTAGGTCTAAAAAGTTAATTTTGCTTATATGTTTTGTTATTTTAATAACTAAATCAATGAAACTAATGAACGATTTAAAAATATTATAAACCAACTTTTGTGTAGCTTTATACGATTCGTCTTAAGTTAATGTATTGAAACAATTTATGACTCAATTTATGACTCAATTATCTAACAAGCACCTTGCAAAAAAATATACCTAGTCAAGTTTGCATTCCTTAATAAACAAGGCCTAAACTTTTAGTTGACTGTAAATAAAATCAAGCCTTACACCACATATATCTCCAAATCACATGATAAAACAACAATCCAATGAAAATCTAATGACACACTCTACCTACAGTCTACACACTGACTTCACAAATTAACCAAACCTTTCCTACCCTGCACCCTCTCAATACGTCACCCACCAGTACACAACCATTCATAACTCAAGTTCCGTAATTTCCCCAGCTTTTGCCTTCACAGTGCGAGTGACTTCCCTTTTTTTTCCCAAACATTACCTTTCGTTTTTCTTTCTTGTTTCTTTTTTTAAATGAGTTGCTATTTTTAATGCATGCCAGAGTTGTATTTTTAACAGCTTTTTTTTCTTTAAAAAAAATGACGTTTAAAAAAAAACAGTTTAAACAACCGCCTCCAGCTTTCAATTTTTCAATTGCCAGTGTTGATGTTCCCTAAGTTAGTAAAATTCCTTCTCTAGTCGATTTATTCAAGGATTTTTTTTTTAAATTTTAGAGCAGACAGAATCAGTTGAATGCCAAACTTGATCTAAGAAATGGTGCAAAAATAGAAATGTCAAAATAAGAATCGGGTTAAATTACTTATTTTTTAACGTTTTTTAAAATATTCTTTTTTGAAAGGATAAAAGCCAAAGACAATAAAAGACGAAAATACAAGCAAAATACATACATACATAAACATACTCATGCATCATAAACAAAAAAACTTCAGAGGTGACATACCCACATACATACGTGTATGGAATCTTTTTATTGGACTTACTAGTACAGTTAGGTCGTTGCCATTGCCATATAATGATGCGCTTATTGGAATGAGATGAAATTATACAAAACTTTTATCTGTTAATAAATAGATACTATAACAGTGGAAAGAGGATAGATAAGTGTTGTTATCCAGCTCTTTGCGTGTGTATGTATGTCTCTGTCTGTCTATGTGTGTGTCTGTCGGAATGAGCTTATCTGTTTCATGATGTGTATGGAGATGTATCTATTAGTGCATGAGACTGTGTCTGTATGAGTGTCTGTGTATCTGGGTGAGTATGTGTGTGTATGTGTGATTACATATGAGTGTATACAAAAATGCACTCATATTAGTATATGAGCACATTTGTGTCTAAGTGAGTGCCGGCGTGTCTATGTTAGCGTATGTGTGTTTATGTGAGTATCGGTGTGTCTATGTTACCGTATGTGTGTCTATGTGAAAAAAATTATGTGTGAGAGGATGTTATCTTCTATGAAAGCGTTTGTATATGTGTGTGTATCTGTGTCTATATGAGAGTGTGTGTTTATGTGAGTGTGTGTGTGTCTATGTGAGCGTATGTGTGTCTATATTAAAGAATGTGTGTCTGTGTGAGTGTCTGTGTGTATATCTGTTGTATCTGTGCACCATCCTCCTGTGTGCTGGCATCACGTGATTTTATTACACAACCTCTTACATCTTCCGTTACATCCGCTACCTGTCGCTGTTAATTTCGTTACTCACAGTCACCCATCTCGTCTTGTTAACGAAACATTCCATCGTTTGAACACGGGTACCACGTGATGAGGTCGTCTCCATTTTGTCAAATAGAAATGAAGCCCAACAACAGCAGCAGGCAACATGTGTTGGGGGGAGGAGGGGGGATTTATCAGTGCTATCGATTGGGGTGAGGCTGTCTGTTAGATAAAATGTTCTGACTACGGTAAAAATACATCAATACTGTCGAGATAGCAAGGGGCGGTAACTTGTAAACTTGCTGTACTCGTGTTAAGAAATTAAACTGTAATGCTTTTTTTTTGTTCTGATGTTTTGTTTTGTTTCTCCGGATTTATTTTAGGCGTTGATGTTTGCTCTTTGTTTTTTGTTTTTCTGATGATTGTGTATTATGAACTTGTTATCTGTTTTTATAATCTTCTCTGCTAAAAATAAACTGTTTATCCATAGAGAGGTAGACGCACTTGACAATGTAGACTGTTTTAGGAATAATTTTGGGTTTTAAAATTGCTGAAAATAGATTCCCGACACCTAACTAAACATAGTATGAGGTGGCATGATCGGGTAATAGAGAGCTCGACTGCTGGCACGTAGGTCTCGAGTTCGGATCTCGGTCAGGAATTGAGACTGCATGACGTCCCTGAGTCCACTCAGCTCTGATTGGTACCTGGCACGCATTATAGAAAGTAATGGCGGCTGGACATAGGACTGACCACTCCTTCCCTTTATATGCTGAGGTCAATAAACATATGAACTCTACTTCATCTGCTTTGTGGATAATTAAGTCTGAAGATGAAACTTTACTTTTTACGTAAAATTATCTTAGTTTAGTGTAGGTGTTTTGGCCTTACACAGAGAGGAAGAAAGGGATTTTTATGTAGATCACGATAACATATCCGTTTTGAAATATTTCGTTAAGGGAGTTAATCATTTATTTATTTTTATGTGTAGTTTTTTTTTCGGATTTGGTTTCCAGAGGAAGTCATGTTTCCATTAGAGTTAAGTGGTCTTAAATTAGCACACATCAATCAATCCTTCTTGTATTTTATGTGAATCCCTGCTGTTTTTAAAAAATCTCAGGTCAGTTTCTAAATTTTGACCTATGTTTAGATTCGTGTTTTAGAGTCATGATGAACGTCGGCCCCAGGGTGTCAAATTTAAAATCGTCCATTTTGAATCAATCCCGTGTATGTAATTTAAATGTGTCATATGGTTATGTTTGTAAGTTATCCAACACAATGATCTACAGGTGTAAACTTGAAATACGAAGATAAATAACTCTGCAGTCACCGGTTCCTCTAGTTTATCTCCCCTGATCTAAAGTGCCAGGGGTTTCCCCCTCAACCAACAACACACCACCTATTCAAGCTATTGTCTAGTCTAGTGTTGGATGTATCGTTTTACTGACTGGAGTTTGAACGTTCTCCAGTCTACGACGGTGACTGGGCATGCGCCAACAAACAAGCGAATCTGCAAGACATCTTCAGTATTTTACTCACTATCTGCAATCTGCTGAGTCTCAGGGGTCGTACACACGCAAGAATCCCATATACAATATCAAAGGCCCCATTTACAATTTCAATGTTCCCGTATAGAATATCAAGGGCCACATATAAAATATCAAGGGTCCCATATAGAATATCAAGGGCCCCAATAAAATATCAAGAGCCATATAAAATATCAAGAATCCACTATAAAATATCAATGGCTCTATTTAAAATAAGAACCACATATGAAATATCAAGGTTCCTAAAAAAAAATTAAGCACCCCATACACAATATCAGGGAACCCATATAAAATATCAAGGTTCCCATATGAAATATGAAGGACCCCCACCTCAATTTGCAAATATTCTTCTTTTCATATGACTAATGAATTTTATGCTTGTCTTTTTTTTTAACATAATACCAATATCAATTTAAATACCTTAATTCATGATGGTACAGTGGGGCCCCTAAAACATCACGGCCATGAAGCCGTGGTCTATTGAACACGTTGTTAATCAGATACAGCCGTTCCTGTGCTTTTGCAAGCGTTATTACATGTTACAGTTAATGTAACCCTTTGTGAAATAGCTAGAGATATTCACAGTGCAGCACTGATTTATTTAACGGGTGTGTTGCTTAATATTGTTTACTTGTGTCTCTGCTCATAATAACTCACGTCTTACCTATTTATAACCCAAATCCCTAATCTGCTAGGCAAAAAAGGTTTTAAACATTTGTAAAAACACATAACTCAAGGGAGAAAAGTCAACAATGTTAGTTTCTTGAAGAGTGATCTCCCCTAGAAATACAATTTTATTTCTTGGTTTTGTTTTTGTACGCCGCTTTAAACAACAATGTCAGACATGGAAGCACCGTCATAAATCGTCTGCTGATTCTAATTATAACGACTGTGGGTAGAGTTATTTATAGACACAGGAGATACACTCTCGCAGACTCACTCTGCCAAAAACACGTAACATGTTGACCTGGTAGGATTTGGCTGCTCACATTTTGCCAGCCCAGCAGTTGTTGTGATAGTGACATCTGGATGTCAAAAGGTGTTCTGTTGGGAAGGTGCCACCCCCCCCCCCCCCCACACACAGCAGTTGTTTGTTAGTGTCATTTGGATGTCAAAAGGTGTTTTGTTGGGATGGTGCCACCCCCCGCCCACACACACACAGCAGTTGTTTGTTAGTGTCATTTGGATGTCAAAAGGTGTTCTGTTGGGATGGTGCCACCCCCACAGCAGTTGTTTGTTAGTGGCATTTGGATGTCAAAAGGTGTTCTGTTGGGAAGGTGCCACCCCCCCCCACACACACACACAGCAGTTGTTGTGTTAGTGTCATTTGGATGTCAAAAGGTGTTCTGTTGGGAAGGTGCCACCCCCCCCCCACACACACACACAGCAGTTGTTGTGTTAGTGACATTTGGATGTCAAAAGGTGTTCTGTTGGGAAGGTGCCAATTCCCCCCCCCCCACAACTGTTGTCTTGTTAGTGTCATTTGGATGTCAAAAGGTATTCTGTTTGGAACGTGACATCCCCCCTACCCCACCCTCTCCCTCCCTATTGGTAAGGTGCCTCACCCACCCATCCATAGCAGTTGAGACAGAGTCACTCTTGGATGTGAACGTTACAAAGGGTGTTTTTGTTTGTAAGGCACTCCCCTCTCTCCCCCCCCCCCCCCCCCCCACACACACACAGTAATAATATATTAAAGTGAACGTTACAAAAGGTGTTTTGTCTGTAAGGGACTCCCCCCCCCCCCCCCCATACACACACAGTAATAATATATTGAAGTGAACGTTACAAAAGGTGCTCAGTTTGAAAGGTGACCTCATTCTGTGTAGTGACGTCTGGTTAAAGAATAACACGATTGTTTCCCTTCGTTAAAAGTCCGTTAAATATAATATCCAAGTTGTCATTCTTGATTATATTTTTATACTTCTCTGGCGACATGTTTTTTAATACATCAGGGTCGAATTAAGTATAAAATTATCAAGTATAAAGTGTAATATTACCAAGTATAAAATTAACAAGTATAATATTATCAAGTATAAAATTAACAAGTGTAAAATTAACAAATATAATTTTTTTTTTCAAAAAGAAGATTGTAAGGAGCCGATGCTCTAATAAAATTTAAATATAAATAGTCCTTTAAACCGTAAATTGTAGCTTTCAAAATCAGAATA